GTATCCCTGCAGTTCACTTTGATCAAGTCCACTGACAGGTGAAGACTGCTGTGGGCAGTGTTTGGTTCCAGAATAAAAATTTTGCCTAAGTATAACAATACTCTTAAAAAAGATGGTTCTTTAAGGGTTCTTTAGTAAAGACAATGGTTGTACATAGAACCATGTACACTTGGTACTTAAATTGTTCTTCAAACTGTGAAATGATTTGTCAGATTGATGGAGAATGTGTTGTATGTGGCTGTGGCGTGCGCCCTGCCGAAAAGCGGGTCCTGAACCTCGAGTGGCGATGAACCCGGGGAGGACGGCGGGGAGAGACCCGCGAGTGAGTGGGGGATGGCGTGCAAAGCCCGAGCTCTGCTGAGGGACACAAGTGACACACGTGACAGTGGGAGGAGGACCACGGTCCCAGCCACGAGAGACACGAGGGCAAGGAGAAAGTCTCCGCCGAGCTGCAAGCTGGGAGTGGTGACGAGGAGGTGGAGCAGCGTGCTCTCATTCCCTCTCGGCTCAGGTGCTCATGCTGCCCTTAATGAGAGCCAGCTGATACTGATCTGGCTGGCAGCGTCAGCGCCTTTAAAAAGAGCTAAGAGGGAACAGAGAGAGAGAGAGAGGGACGAGCAGCAGCAACAGAGACTGAGCAAAAAGCTGAAAAGCTTAAGTTATGAAGGACTGAAAAGTCTAGATTAAGCCACTGAAAAGTGGCCAGAAGAGCTTTGATTATTTGGTTTTATTTGCTTTGTGTTTATTTGGTGTGTGAATAAAATACGGCTGCTGAAATCATGAATCCTGCCTCCAGCATCCTCCTTGAGCCCAGGGTAGCACATGCCATACTACATCGTCCCACAGTGGGGAAATTTCACCTCTGCATTTTAACACATCCATGCAGTGAAACACCACATACACACTAGTGAATGCACACACACTAGGGGGCAATGAGCACACTTGCCCGGAGCAAAAGACAGCCCTATCCAGAGCGCCCGGGGAGCAGTTGGGGGTTAGGTGTCTTGCTCAAGGGCACTTCAGTCACATACTGTCAGCTCAGGGGATCAAACCAGCGACCTTCCGGTCACAAGCCTGGTTTCCTAACCTCTTTGATTTTATCTAGATTTAGGCTTAATACTTGTTGGCCAACCCACCCATAGACTTGTAAGGAAGAGGAGATTAGGGAGACTGTTAGAAGTAAAGGTACATGATGGATGACACACAGATGTATAACACGTAAAATTTGTTCATTCATTTTTTAAAAAACTATGTCTATAGTTCCACAGGACGAAAAAATAAGGCTAAAGTGGCTAAAGATGCACATCTGGTGTATTTTGCTTGTGTATTATCAACAAGACTGGTGGACGAGCCTAAATTGACAGTTTAAGGGTTCTGTGCAAAGGTAACTGCAGTGCAGCTGATTATATACTACACTTGATTTACTGATGTTGAAGCACTAATGCCAAGTGGATTTACATGGATCAAAATGCAAGGATTCCATGGATTAAACCCAGACACAACTTTGTGGCTGAAAGTCTCTCATGTTGTCGAGAGACTTCCTTTGACAATGACAGCTGGATCCGGCACTGTGTACTCAGCACTGAAATGATCACACAAACACAACACTTTTACATTTTTACTAATACATTTTAAACCAAAATAATACAGCCATATGAAAACGTTTGGTAACACTTTATTTTGAGTGGAGTATAAATGATTAATAAACTCTTAACAGACTTTTAGTAACATGTCAGTGAAGTAGCAGCACTGAAGCATCTGAATACACTGAGGTAAATATCTCGAAGATGCAATGTTGATTATACACCGATCGTTATGACCTACATTATGCTCATTGTCCATTTGATCAGCTCCACTTACTATATAGGTGCACTTTGTAGTTCTACAATTACAGACTGTAGTCCATCTGTTTCTCTGATACTTTGTTAGCCCCCTTTTACCCTGTTCTTCAATGCACCTATATAGTAAGTGGAGCTGATAAAATGGACAATGAGTGTAGAAACAAGGAAGTGATCATAATGTATATGCAGTTAGTGAGTCTGAGGTAGATAATAAATGAGATGCAGGTACACATGGGATAGAATATTGATATAGAAATCTTCCAGATTGTACAAGATACAAGATATGGATACAAGATGTACAAGATGTCAATCTATATGTGTAAGTATAGATTTGCTGGAAGGTGCAGAAGATCAAAGTGAGTGAGTCTGTTGATGTGGATGAGGTGTAGATTGTCCATGGAGATCATCATGATGATGACTTAGAGGTACAGTGACAAGCTCATAGACTGATACACCAGCACTATTGGCTATTCAGCAGCCTGATGACCCGGGGGAAGAAACTGTCTCGGAACTGGCTGGTTCTGGACTTTATGCTTCTGCACCTCCTCCCTCTCAGCAGCTGTGAGAACAGACAGTGGCTTGGGTGGGTGGAGTCCTTTAGAATCCTCCTGGTCTTCCTCAGGCGGTGGCTGGTGTATAAATCCAGGAGGTTTGGGAGCTGGACCCTGCTGATGTGTCGGGCTGTCCGCACCACTCTCTGCAGAGCTTTCTCGATGGCAGTGCACTTTCTCTTGTTTCCAGAAGTCCACTGTGAGCTCCTTGGTCTTGTCGACGTTGAGAGAAAGGTTGTTCACCTGGGACCATCGTGTCAAGAACCTGACCTCCTCTCTGTAGGCCTCCTTGTTGTCATTAGAGATCAGGCCCACAATCGTGGTGTCATCTGCAAATTTGATGACGACATTGGAGCTGTGTCTGGCCGAACAGAGAGTATAAAAGAGGGCTGAGCACACAGCCTTGAGGAGCTCTGCTGTTAAGGGTCAGTTATGTTGCCCATCCTCACCATCTGGCATCAGGAAGTCCAGGATCCAGCTGCAAAGAGAACTGTTTAGACCCAGATCCCGAAGCTTAATGTCGCGCCATGAGGGCACGATGGTGTTGAATGCTGAGCTGTAGTCCACAAACAGCATTCTCACATACATCTTCTTTTTGTCCAGATGGGAAAGGGCAGTGTGTAGGGTCAGGGCTATTGCATCATCAGTGGATCTGTTCTGTCTGTAGGCGAACTGCAGTGGGTCCAGAGTGGCCAGTAGTGAGGAGCAGATAAAGTCTCTGACCAGCTTCTTATAGCACTTGCTTATGATGGAGGTCAGAGCAACCGGGCATCAGTCATTTTGAGTATTTACCCTGGCTGACTTTGGAACTGGCACAATAGTGGCCAGTTTGAACCATGTGGGAACAACTGAGAGGGAGAGAGAGAGAGAGAGAGAGAGAGAGAGAGAGAGGTTAAAAATCATTCTTTTATCATTATTAAATCTGAAGTGTGAACTCTGCTGTGTTTTCTTCTTATAAAAGGCATGTGATTCTGCAGTCTGTGTGGATTTCCTGCTCAGTGCTGCACGCCATTGAGCACAAGTCCACCACATGCCCCCGACGACCATCCCACCCCCTCACAAAACCACTCCCACTCTGTGGCCAGCCACAGTTCTGCACATAGACGCCTCTGATTGGCGCAGTGTCACATATCACAAACATTAAACTTCCTGATCAGTGACTGATGTTGAAATCAGCAGACCAGTTTCCTTTTCAATGAGGTTAGTATTTAATGCTCTCTGTGAGCAAACTGGACCATTTTCTGTCCTCATTAAAGTAAGTTGGCAAAGCTAAAAGGCTCCAGTACTATTCAGAGGTTTTGAACTTAAATCCTTGCTCAAAGAATCAACATTCAATGTGTAACATCCAAAGCAAAGAATATGGTACTTAAATGTCTGTTACAAACTTCAAATATCTGCAGTTCATCCAGAGAGCTGCTATAAATGTCAAAACTCAGCACAGTTAGCACAATGCTAATGCAAATACTTATTACTAGGAAAATAGCATTATTTTAGTGGAGTTAACATGCAAGCAAAACTACTGTTAAAGAGTTTTACAAGGTTTCAGTATTAAACAATGCTGTGTAATAACATACTTAACTGGTTCATGCTTATTTAGCAAGTCTCTTATACATGTGTGAGGTCATAATCAAAAACCACCCCACAAAGTGAGGTCTGATGTATCTGAATTGCTTCACATTTTGCTCTCTCTTTCTTTCATGGTTATTTTTTCAATTAATAAGCAAAACTGATTCTCTGTTCTGTGGTTAGATGTTTGGTTTTAAAAAGGCTTTGCAACTTATTTGTAACTGGTACAATTGCAAAAATAACCACTCTATGTCACCCATGAACATTTGAAACAGAAAATGCAGTATGGAGACAATATTTAATATAGCATCCGGCATGGTGAGGAATGACGCTGGTGCTCATGAGAGAGAGGTCAGCAAAAGTGGAACCGTTAAAGTCTTGCACTGTATAAGCGGCCTTCTTGTAGCAGAATAATGGTCTCCCCTGTGTTTCTTCTTCTGTTGACAGTACATTATATTTCTGAAAGTGGACTGTGGGTCAGGTGACTTCAAAGTAAAGAGACAAATGAAGTCTTCTTTCCATTTTACCAACTTTAATTTTTACAAAGTGTAAGCAGAAATCAAATGTGAATACTAAAGATACTGACACAAAAGAGGAAGTGAAGCTAGTTCACACTGAGTTTAAAATGCCCCACTTTGTAGGCCAGCACAGCTAAAAACAAACTCAGAGATGAGAGGCAAGAGAGGGAGGAAGGGAGGGAGGAAGGGAGGGTGGGGGTGTAGCAATACAGCAGACATTCTGAGAGGTAACCTTCAACAGACGTTACGGTAACAAAACTACTAGAGATCTACCGCAGAAAATGATCATCATGTGTCTTGTGAAGATATTTTACCACTGCATATGTGACCCTGGTATGTGTTGGAAATGGGAAGTTTTCACACATCTTGATGATCTAAACTGTCTGAAGGGTGTTTAACGCATTGGGGATACTGATGTTTATCATACTGATGTCATCGTTCACCTCTTCCTTTATGAAGGCGCATTTGGTCACTGATGTTAATGGGAGGAGCTGTGAAGTTAAACGCTCAGACCTTCCGCAAAAAGAGGAAATGACAGTCAGTGCCACAAAGACAAGTGCATTTACTGAATTAAAGTTTATGTACACATCACAGAGGCTGACCTTTAGATCACGATGAAGACCTTCTTCATCTTCACCCTCTACTTGATCTCAGGTGAGATGTTCTAGTTCACTTTACTGTAACAGTACTTTTAACGCTTAATTTACAGGTTCTTGTAGATTGTGTAAGGTTCAGATTTTATCAGAAGCAGTTTGGAATCTCATATTATTGTGATTTAGAACTGGAGAAGTGAGAGAAATTCATCAGAAAGTTGAGCAAGAACCTTCAGTTAGATTTGCAGGTCCAGTGTTCTGCTTTGTTGTGATTGACTGTTCAGGAGGTAGTGTGATAATGTAATGCAGACTCCAAGGATTTGAAAATATAGTAACGCTTGATGTCACAATGGTTTACTAGAGTACAGTTACCTAAAGATTTTGCATGTGACCTAAGCTGCCCTGATATGTTTATGATATGGTTATGTCAACGCTATATAGCAGAGTTCAAGTAAAGTGTTACCAGGAAGATATTTAAGGGCCACTTCTAAAAGAGTGTAGCAATACAAAGAATACTGAAACAGTATTCAGTATAAAGTACTGAAGGCATGAGGCAGAAATCTGAGATTCATAAAGGCAGAGAAATATGTGAAAAATCTTTTCTGTAAGAATAAAAGCCTGATTGCATGAGACAAACTTCTCACCCACAAAGCTATGGTGGTTCACCACCATTCAGTGTTCACAGACAATTATTTCTGGAAGTGTTCCTGAGCCCATGCAGTGATTTCCAGTACATAATCATGCCTATTTTCAATGCAGTGCCGATTGAGGGCCTGAAGATCATGAGCATCCAGTACTGACCGTCAGCCTTGTCCCTTGCATACAGGGATTTCCCAGATTCTCTGAATCTTTTGATGATATTGTGTACTGTAGATGGTGGGATATCTAAAGTCTTCACAATTTTACATTGAGGAACATTTTTCTGAAATTGTTCCACAAATTTTAGATGCAGGTTTTTGCAGATTGTTGAACCTCTGCCCATCTTTGCTTCTGAGATACTCTGCCTCTCTAAAATGCTCTTTTTATAGCCAGTCATGTGAGTTAGTCACAAATTACTCCTCCATCTGTTTTTATTAGTACCATTTACTTTTCCAGCCTTTTGTTGCCCCGTCCCAACTTTTTTTGTGATGCGTTGCTGCTGTCAAGTTCTACATGAGTTAATGTTTTTCATGAAATGGTAAAATGTCTCACTTTCAACATCTGATATGTGTTCTGTGTTCTATTGTGAATAAAATATGGGTCTATGAGATTTGAAAATCATTGCATTCTGTTTTAATTTACTTACATATTATACAGTGTCCCAACTTTTTTTTGGAATTGGGGTTGTATCTATTCTGAGCTTTCATTAATAACTGAGCACCCTCTAGAATGTATTTTTTTTATCCATGAAAGGGAGTTTCTGCCATTCTGCACTGAAATATCCTCAATTAAAACTCTTTGGAGGCAGAGAAACTATAGACTGTTTATGAAATGTGATGTGTTTCTAAACAAATTGCATTCTTGTTTTATGGATCTCCAGTAGCTTTTTGATATGTTCACATTACAAGTCTTTTTGCTCCATTTCAGTTTGCAGTCCAGATTCAATGTTTCTGACTTGATATTAGGAGAGGCTTGAACCTCTTCCATTCTGCCCTTAAACTGTAGCCTAACCACTGTGTTTCAGCCAGATGTTAGAAATGGTAAACAGTGTCAGCTCTTTGCAAGGCTCTTTACTGAAGGAGTCACTGCTAAACTGCTACAGGCTAAATGTATGTTAATATTTCTGTTACAAGTGCCAAATAAAACATAAGATCTATGTATTTCACACATTAAATAAAACTTTATCTTAATTTTTAAGATTAAAATGATTTTAATAGTATTTGTATCAACTGCATTAGCAGCGTAAAGCTCAGTTTTTTCCATTGAAAACACAATCTTTCTTAGGACACCTGAAAAAGTGATTTGTCAGCCACTATGTTTAGGCTTAGTTTTGTATGTCATGAAAAAGCTTGAATGTATCACTGTGCCATATACTATGATATACTGAGAAGATTAAGACAAGGTGACAGGAAACTTGCTTACAGCTACAAAACATCCATGTGGTAATGTTACTTGCTCAGCTATTAGCTAAAATGAATAAATGATGTTGGTATTTAAAATTGTGATGATGTCTAAACTGCACATCTGTCTGATCTGATAGACTGTCAGGCATGGTATAAAGCTGTTTTAGAAGCAGTTAGCAGTAGCTTAGCATGCTAATTCTTCACACAGCACAGGTCTGATTCCAGCTTACTCAAGCTCCAATGATGAAGGTTTACAGATTAAAGACTCAAATGTAAGAAGGTTTTTTGTGTGTGGAGCTGTTGTCTAAGCTCCATTATACTGTCCATGTTAACCCAATTAGCTAGCATTAGCTAAATGAGCAAGCTAATGGTTCCACACACAACAACACAATTTCAATTCACTGATGCGTCATTACACAAGTTCAGAGAATAAAGACTCAAATCTGATTTCTGTTAGTTGTTTTTGGATCTGTTATATAAGTTAGGTTCCACTACCTCATTAGAACCAGAGGCTGACATCAGCTTTGCAACCAGACTTAAACATATTCACAACAACAACATGGGTTCTATACACACAACATAGAGGATAAAGACTCGAAAATGAGTAAGTGTGTGAAATGAAGTGATGGTGTTTGTGTGACAAAAAGACTAAATTTAGCCTGTTCTGTGGTGTGTTGAGCCAGGTTGAGCTAAGTTATTAGCCTGCTAAGCTAGTGCTAGCCTAATCAGCCCATTCTGCCGCAACCATTGTTTAGTTTATTGTTTAATGTTTAGTGGGTGATGAATTAAAAACCTCTCAAGTTTAATTTCTGATTATTAATGTCATTATGAGTTTAATTTAGTGCGATTTGGCAACTGGGAGCCAAGGGGACATTTACAATTTGCATAATTGTGCATATTCATAAGTCCTCACACTCTTAATGATGTGTTAAGGTTAAGAAATGCTCTTATGCTATTTTAGTAGACAATTAGAAAATGTATTTATGCTGAGTAATTTACCTTTTTAATATGTGGCTTATTGACATTATTTGATTAACTATCCCTTAGTAAATGTCTTAATCATTGATAGTTCATGTACATGAATTACTAATGGAAAACTGATTGTTACCCATCATTGAAAATGAGACTTTTAAGCTAGCTGACACATTGACTACTGATCACTGTTGTACAGTATTTTAAACTTTCATTTTATTGTTAGATTATGGTTCTGCCTCATTTCCTACAGTTGTAATTCAGTTCTAGTATGAATAATGTACACCTCAATGTCACAAGGTTTGCTTGCTGAGCCATGATGAGCAGTGAACCTTTAACACACTGTGTCAGTCTTTGGGCCCTCAAAAAGAAACAAGGGCAACTGCAGCATCCTGTATTACCCAGTAATAAACGGTTTCTCCCTTCTTTAGGCCTCCTCCTGGTGTCCCCTGTAAAGGCTAAGTCATGTGGTCCTGGGTTCCAAATGTTTGGAAGAGAGTGTAAAGGTAACACATCTTACTATTGACTATGTCTGGAATAAAATAAAAATAGGTAACACTTTATTTTGACGGTCCACTCTGGATGATTTGAACATGCTTTGTCTGCCTTTAACCAACATTCAACTAAATATCTATAAAATGCAACAGAAATTGAAGTTGAGGGTGAAAAATCCTACTAAATCTTACTCTAATCATAAACCTCACCCGAAAGTTTGTTGACAATGTAAGTATCTGTAGATCATCCATAGGGGACCATAATGTGGCTGTTTCTCATGTTTAATCTGATCGTCTTCATTAATCACATGATTTCTCAGTGCAGTTGATGCATTAATTTGATATGTAAAGAGCAAAATGCAGCAAAGCCTAAAATTCATAATTTCTACCTTGTTTGTGACACATTTTCAAATAAATACTGCAGTGTTTTTTATTTTTTTATTTTTTTTTAATCTAATCTCTACCTGCTGTCGTGTGTGGTCGATTACCAATAGCAATAATTTTGATGTGTTAAAGTGTAAAGACCAGAAGTCCTGTTGATTTAAAACACTCTATTAATAAAAGCCAAAGGGTAGTTCCCGATTTTCTGTTGAAAACTTTTACAAATTATTCTGTCAAAAGTTGTTTCTAAATTATGCTATAAATCTGTATATTTTTTTTTAATTTTGAGACAAGGACAATTGTTGGTATTTGTGGTATTTCTTGATCAGTGTAGTGATGTGAGTGGAGATTTTACATGGTCGCCATGGAAACAAGAAAAGCTTATAAAACCTTATAACCTTATAAAATTAAAAACTTTAAATTAAAAAGTAACCAGAACTGCTTTTTTGGTGTTGCAGCCAGTGACAATGAATAAGACTTTAGGAGCACAGCTTTCATAAGACATTCTTTCAGCTACTCTCATCCATGTATTGTCACAGTTTAATGACCGGATTTAAAATTTTGAAATAATAAGTTCAAAAGTTTATGATTCCTATTTTAAATTAAACACAAAAATAAACTGCCACTTCTCTACAACCTCACACATTTCAACTATTCAGAATAAAATTATTGAAAATAAAGTTCTAATAAAATTAATATTCACAATTCCTTATATTTCAAAAGTGATTACATTTAGAAGCAGATCTCTCTCTCTCTCTCTCTCGCCCTCTCTCTCTTTCTCTCTCACACACACACACACACTCTCTCTCTCTCTCTCTCACTCTCTCTCCCTCTCCATCTCCTTCAGATGAGAATGAGTGTGAGGACAATCCCAATCTCTGTGGAGATCATTCAATCTGTCACAACACAAACGGCAGCTACTACTGCACCTGTCAGCCAGGATTTCAGTCCAGAACCCCCAACTTTAATACCACAGATCCCCACTGTAAAGGTGAGAGTGAGACACCTAAAAACACTCTTAACACTCTTAGAGCACACTGGACTGTAAACACCCGAGATACTGTTATAAATAATCTGTAATTAAACTTGTTAATTCTGGTTCTTCTACCCCGTAAAGATTTAAGACTATGTTAACAAACTGAACCTAAACTGCTTCTGCTCCTTCTCTCTCCTGTCCTCCACTCCTCAGACATAAATGAGTGTACAGAGAACAACCCCTGTCCCAAGAACTCAACGTGTAAGAACTCTATGGGCTCGTACATGTGTGAGTGTTTACCTGGCTTCAAGCTATCCACAGAAACCGCCGCCTGTAGAGGTGAGATCTTGTGCATAGTTTTGTTTTATTATTTCCTTGGTCATTGTGTGTATGAACTTAAATAATGAAGATACAGAATGTTAAATTAAATATAAAAGTAATTACTTACACAATTAAAGCAGCATTATGTAATACTTATTTGTTAAAACTGAAATAAATAGCATTACTAAGTAAAAAGAAGTGAGAAAAAACAACAAACTAAACATTATTCTGATGACAAATTATATTGATGACAATAAAAGATAGTTCACTCACATCCTCGGAAGACGTGTCCTTCACTAAGATTAGAGTTCTTTTTGAAACAAGACCTTTATGAGTGTATGTCAGTTAAAAAACACTGAAAACCTTTTTTTTTACTACAGTTTGGTCAAACTGGTTACCCTTTAAATGTAAAGTGTCAAATTATTATTGCTGCCGTGTATATCTTCTGCATTACCATTAATTATTAAAATATCAGTAGTTTTATAGCTGCACTTACATTTATATTTGATTTACGTTCTGTATTGACAGGTTGCAGTCTGTACATCTGACTTCATCCATTTGTTTTAAAGTCAAGCTGTTGATTATGTGGTTTCTGACACTGTATGGCACTGTTATCTATAAATATAGACTAAATTACAGACAACATTCAGGTTTCAAGGTGGCTGCTGAAGTATATCTTCAGTATAGATTCAGGAGACTGGGGTTTGCAGAAAATATGGTTCATGAGAAGAGTGCTTGGTACACCATCTGCTAATCTTCACCCAAGTCGTAAACTGAGTATTCTGTTCCTGTCTTTAGGAAGTGTCATAAAAGACAATTTGCTGTTATTGTTCAAACCAACAGAACAGAGCAAAAATGGCTGTCCTGCCGTTCAGCATTCTTTTTATCAATGAATAACAGCTAAACAAAGGATAAAGAACAGAAAACTAGAAAATAAAACAAAATTAAAGAAAAAATCCAACACTGCTAATGTTTTAGCACCATGCTAATTAACTTTCATTATTTGTTAGCTGTGTTAGCCTCATAGTTGCAGTGCAAATAAAAAGAAGTAAACTTCAGACACCATACATGCCTTGGCTGACTGACTACATTTGGGTGGAGGGGGAGCAAGGAGCCGTATCAGAATATTGGAATGTTTATTGTTCTGGCTGTTTGAGTATTGTTTTTTTTTATGTTTATTGGAACATTGAAATATTTTTGTTATTATGATTATTGGAATATATTTGCTGTTAAACTTATTACAGTCCCATTTCCAAAAAAGTTGGAATGCTGTGCAAAATGTATATAAAAACAAAATTCAATGATGTGCAAATCATTTAAACCCTATATTTCATTGAAAATAGTACAAAAGACAACAAATCAAATGTTGAAACTGAGAAATATTATTGATTTTTGAAAAACATTTTCCCATTTTGAATTTGATGCCAATAATACATTCCAAAAAAGTTAAGACAGGGCAACAAAAGGCTGGTAAAGTTGTGTAATGCTTAATAAAACACCTGGTGGTTAATTGACAACAGGTCAGTAACATGATTGGGTATAAAAAAGCATCTTAGAGAGGCGGAGTCTTTCAGAAGTAAAGATGAGGAGGGGTTCACCACTCTGTGAAAGACTGCATGATCAAATAGTAGAACAATTCAAGAATAACATTTCTCAACATATAATCTACAGTCATCTTTCATCATCTACAGTACGTAATTTCTGTATGTAATGGACAAGGCCAAAACCCAGCATTTGCTGGCTCTGATCTTTGGGCTCTCAGGCAGCACTGCATTAAAAACAGACATGATTCTGTAGTGGAAATCACTGCATGGGCTCAGAAACACTTCAGAAAATGACTGTCTGTGAAAACAGTTCATCACTGCATCAACAAATGCAAGTTAAAACTTGAATATAAACAATATATATAAACAGGATCCAGAAATGCTGCCACCTTCTCTGGGCCCAAGCTCATTAAAAATGGACTGAGGGGAAGTGGAAAAGTGTCTGTGGTCCGACGAATCAACATTTAAAATTGTTTTTGGAAATCATGGACACTGTCCTCCGGTCTAAAGACCACTCAGCTTGTTCTCAGTGCACAGTTCAAAAGCCAGTATTCATGATGGTATAGGGGGCATTAGTGCACGTGGCATGGCTGACGTGCACATCTGTGAAGGCACCATTAATGCTGAACGATATATACATGTTTTGGCAACTTTTGCTGCCACCCAGACAACGTCTTTTTCAGGGAAGGCCTTGATAATTTCAGCAAGACAATGTTAAACCACATTCTGCATGTGTTACAACAGCACTGCTTCGTATTAAAAGAGTCCAGGTGCTAAACTGACCTGCCTGCAATCCAGACCTGCCACCCACTAAAAACATTTTGCATTATGAAATGAAAAATACGACAAAGGAGACCCCGAACTGTCAAGCAGCTGAAACCCTGTATCAAATAAGAACAGGAAAACATTTCACTTTCAAAGCTACAGCAGTGTCTCCTCAGTTCCCAAACGCTTACAGAGTGTTGTTAAAAGAAGAGGTGATGAAACACAGTGGTAAACAGGCCCCTGTCCCAACTTTTTTGGAACGTGCTGTGGCCATCAAATTCAAAATGGGGATATATTTTTCAAAAAACATTCAAATTTCTGTTTCAACATTTTATATGTTGTCTTTGTAGTATTTTCAGTGAAATATAGGGTTTAAATGATTTGCACATCATTGCATTTTGTTTTTGTTTATGTTTTGCATAGCATCCCAATTGGAAATGGAGTTGTAATTTTTTGGCACATATTTTGTAATTACCACTATTGGAATATTGTAATGTTCATCGTTTTTGTGGCTGATGGAATTCTGGCTATTGGGATAATGGAATATTTTTGTTATGGCTATAGTAATTTTGGAATATTTGTATGGTCATTGTTATTGGAAATTAAAAAATATATAATATATATATATATATATATATATATTATATTTTCGAATATAATTTATTGCAGTTGTGACTATTGAAATATTGGGACATTTATTGTTTTTGTGGCTATTAGTATGAGGGAATATTAATTGTTGTGATGGCTATTTAAATACTGGAATGTTTATTGTTTTGTGGCTTTTGGTACACTTTATATACAGTGCCTCCAAGTAGTATTCAACCCCCTGCAGATTTTGCAAATTCAACAAGTTGCAAATAAGTTACAGCCTTCGAACTTTGAGCAAGAGTAGCATTTATTAACAGATGTCTAAATATTACAAACAAAAAATGTAAGTTGCTCAATTGAATTATAGTACATTTTAAACACAAAAATTAGGATAAATTATTATTCAACCCCCTAGGTTTAATATTTTGTGGAATAACCCTTGTTTGCTATTACAGCTATTAACCATTTTTTTTATAACACCTGATCAGGCTGGCACAGGTCTCTGGAGTAATCTTGGCCCATTCCTCCATGCAGATCTTCTCCAAGTTGTCTAGGTTCTTTGGGCATCTCTTGTGGACTCTTGAGCTCCTTCCACAAGTTTTCAATTGGGTTAAGGTCAGGAGACTGACTAGGCCACTGCAACACCTTGATCTTTTCCCTCTTAAACCAGGCCTTGGTTTTCTTGGCCGTGTGCTTGGGGTCGTTGTTCTGTTGGAAGATGAAATGATGACCCATCTTAAGATCCTTGATGGAGGAGCAGAGGTTTTTGGCCAAAATCTCCAGGTAGGCTGTGCTATCCATCTTCCTGTGGATGCGGACCAGATGGCCAGGCCCCTTGGCTGAGAAGCAGCCCCACAGCATGATGATGCCACCACCATGCTTGACTGTAGGGACGGTATTCTTGGGGTCGTATGCTCTCGCCAAACGCCCCGGGTGTGGTTGGCACCAGAGACCTTGATCTTGGTCTCATCAGACAAGAGAACCTTCAAGCAGTCTGCCTCAGAGTCCTCCAAGTTATCATGAACAAACTTTAGACAGGCCTTGACATGACGCTTTGAAAGTAAAGGTACCTTACGGGCTCGCCTGGAACAGAAACCAGTGGAGTACGTTACTTATGGTATTCATTGAAACCAATGTCCCCACCGCCATGAGGTCTTCCCGGAGCTCCCTCCTTGTTGTCCTTGGGTCAGCCTTGACCGTTCGGACAAGCCTGGCCTCAGCATGGGAGGAAACTTTGAAAGGCTGTCCAGGCCGTGGAAGGTTAACAGTAGTTCCATAAGCCTTCCACTTCTGGATGATGCTCCCAATGGTGGAGACAGATAGGCCCAACTCCTTGGAAAGGGTTTTGAACCCATCGCCAGCCTTGTGACCCTCCGCGATTTTGTCTCTGATGGCTTTGGAATGCTGCTTAGTCTTTCCCATGTAGACCATGTATAAGTGCTGTTCACTTGATTGGGGAGGGGCTTTTATAGTCAGAAAAGGCAGGAAAAAACAGATAATTAATCCAAGCATGTGAAGCTTATTGTTCTTAATGCCTCAATTACTTCTTAATACTTGAGGGAACCAAACAGAATTCTGGTGCTTTGAGGGGTTGAATAATAATTGACCCTCTGGTAAACAGAGGAATGACATTTTTTTTTTTTTTTTGCTGCAGTGCATTTCACATGTCCAGGCCAATCTACAGTCCAAATTTCACAATGCTAAGTTAACTCCAAATGTGTAAACCTGCAAAATCTGCAGGGGGTTGAATACTACTAGGAGGCACTGTGTATACATATATACATACATATATTTGTATTGTTAAGGTTATGTGATTTTTTTTTATGTTTTTGTAATATTGGATTGTTGTTGTGCTTATTGAAATGTTGGAATTTACCCATATTATAATAATTCCAATTTTACAGAATACAGAATTTTTGTTATGGTTATGATAATATTGGAATTTTGCTGTGGTTATTGAAATATTGAAATGTATTTATTTATTTATTTATTTATTGGGTGTTGGGATATTGGAATATTTTGGTTCTAATTGCTATTGGAATATAAGAATATATGACCTGTTATGGGAATTTTGGAATGCTTATTGTTGTTGTGGCTACATACACCTACATTTACATTCACGTCATTTAGCAAGCTCTGAGAGCCCTTCTGAGTCCTGAGGGTTATAACTGCTGCACTACAGTAAGAACGTACATTGAATTTATACAACATGTACTTGTGTAAAGTTTGTTTCTCAGTCTTTAACGGCACCTTTTATAACTCATTAACTGATTAAGATATATAGTTATAATGTGTGTGTGTGTGTGTGTGTGTGTGTGTGTGTGTGTGTGTGTAACCAGGGCAACAGCAATACCGCATGTGAAGGTGAGGGCCAATAGGATTGTAGATGAATGACACTGACATTGCTTTGATAACCTCATCACTTTAACACACACTCATCTTCACTCTCTATGGGCAGCAACACTACTAAACCCACAGGGAGGCTGATCACTGATCATGTTTAGTGTAGAGGAGCTTCTGGGGTCTTTGGGGCCTCTGGGGTCTGTCCTGGGGTCTGTCTCACAAAGCATGTTTAAATTTAAAGTGTTTCTGACTAAGCTTCACCTTCACAAAGCCCCCCAAAACACACACAGCTGTGGCTAACCCCTCACACGGCCCAGAGTTTTATTACACACTTCTATAATCTATAAAAGAATATCCCAGTTCAGTTTGCATTGATGTCCCTGTAGTTACTGAATAACAAGCCTTAATATATAATAAACCTGGGTTTTTGATGGCTTATTACATACATATTACATATTTATTACACACTAATGATTATTTTTCAGTAACTACAGGGTCAAAGCAAACTGATTGAACTGTACTTATGTTATAGAATTGTGGGTCCCACTTTACATTGTGCCTCTAATTACTGTGTAGTTACACATTAATAACATATGCACCAACACTATAACTACTGATGATTTAGTCAATATTACAAATGCACTAAAGAAGTAGATAAATAAATAAATAAATAAATAAATAAATAAATAAATAAATAAATGCTAGCTAAATGTTAGGAAAGCTGACAGATGCATAACATAAATGTAATTACTCATGTTATTACCGTTGTGCAATTACATGAGAGAACAGGAAATTACCACTATTAAGATACACTTGTGTTATTATATGAGGCATCCTTCTGTAATCCATCTGTAACAGTGACTAAATCATTAGTAGTTATATTGTTGTTGCATATGTTGTTCACATGTAACTACACAGTTATAGAGCTACTTAATATGAAGTGGGACTGAATTGTGTAATTAAACCAGTGAGCCCTGGCCATTTAAGGAGTTAAATTTTATCAGGCTTTGAGATGCCGACTCTGTCAATGTAAATGCTCTGTAGTGCTGTTAATTATTAAAGAGTAGATTTTTGATTGTGCCCATTGTCATCTCTTACTTGTGTTTATCATCGTTAGTCAACATTTAAATTTATTAGGTGAACACACAAAATTGTATAAGCTGTATAATTACAAGCTGTGTCTATTCAGAAAATGTAGCAGATTTAGAGCAGGTTTTAATAAATTTTGTTTAAATAAACATCTATATTACATTGTTTTAAACACTATGTATACATTGCATTAAACATCACTATATTAAATCAATACTTTGAATTCATAGGAATATTTCTTAAAGGTACTCACCAAATTGAATCACTATTTAGTGTATCAAATTGAATCGAAGCATTTTTAGTTCACAAAAATAAATAGACTTTTTTCACTGTCAGCTGAAAGATTCACAGCCCTAGTAACTGTAATTCCTCGATGTGATGTGATGTGTGAATGCAAACACAAATACTATTAAATATATGCACCAAAAACAAATAAACTAATAACACAGTGTCTCCCTCTCTCAGACATTGATGAATGTGACAGTGAGGAATACAAGTGTGGAAAACATGGAAGCTGCTCCAACTTAGCCGGCAGCTACCACTGCAAGTGCAACCCTGGATACGGTAACTATGGAAACAACCAGACCAAATGCACAGGTAAGACAACACATGCCATTTACTCATCAGAAACACAGGCTTATATAAAGTACCAATCAACCATTTGTTGAAGATAATTCCACATTGTATTGTAGGGGCTGAAACTTTGAGGGTGTTTAATTGGGGGCAGTCCAATACTCTTTGTCCATGTAACAGGCAGGGGTCAACACACAAGCAGGCAAAACCAAAAGCAGGTAGAAAAAACAAACAAACAAACAAACAAAAAACATAAAAACACAGCAACACCTGAAAAACAAAGAGGTATACATAAAAATCCTAATTACTTTGAAATGAGCTGCAGGTGTGTGTGAGAGGAGGAAGTTGGCGGAGCCAGGGAGACTCCAAGTTGAGTCTCCCCCGGGGTGCTGTCCAACTGGGTCAACAGAGGGGACGGGGCAAGACCAGCTGAGTCAAGCACTGGGAAACCGGCTCTGGAGGATCCATTCTAAAAGCTGGCGCTCAAGCAGCTCTGGGAACCGGCACAGGAGAGGCAGTCATAAAAGCTGGCACTGGATAAGCTTGGGAGACCAGTAGCAAAAGCTGGCACCGGGAACATGACAGGGAGTTGGCACAGGAGTTACACAGGGAACCACCTCATGAGTAGCAGCAGCTTGAAAAGCTAGATCAGGAGCTGCATGTGATCAGGAGCTGCATGTGAAGCCAGCACTGGATCAGGACAGGGAGTTGACACAGGAGCTGCAGGCCAAAAAGCTGGCACAGGAACAGGACAGGAAACAGCTTGGGAAGCCAGCACCAGATCAGCACAGGGAGCCGGCAACAGGAGCCTTGCGTGGAGTGGGCACTGCAGTCCTGTGTGGTGTTGTCTGGGAGGCAAAACTGGAGCAGCCCGGGGAGCAGGACCAGGAACATGAGTCATCTGGGGCACAGGAACAGGAGCCAAATTTGGAGCAAGAACAGGAGTGGCCCAGGGCACAAGAACAGGAGTGACCTGGGGTGCAGGAACTGGAACGACCCAGGGAGCAGGAGCTGAAGTGACCCGGGGAGCTGGAACAGGAGAGTCGGCTTCAGTTTTAGTTGCCAAACCATGGGAGGTGGCTAGATGAGCCACCACAGGCATGATGAGGGCAGGTGTCAATGAGAGAGTGCTCTCCGTAGCACAGGGCGGAACCTTGAGGGTAGGCAATAACAGACCAGTGCTCTCCGTAGCACTGAACAGAGCTTTGAGGGCAGGCATCAACAGGCCAGTGCTCTCCGAAGCACTGAGCAGAGCTTTGAGGGCAGGCATTGATGGACAAGTGCATTTCGTAATACTGGGTGGAGCCTTGGAGCCCTGCTAGGTTTGGTGGAGGCTCACCATTCTGCCAAAAAATGCATCAGCAGTTTAAGAATAAAATACCTCAAAAAAACATTTGCAAGAATTTTAGATATTTCACAATCTACAGTGCTGAATATCATTATTTTTTTAGGGAAATAAGGAAAGTTTTCCTCAGATGGTGCTGCATTAAAACTGGCATGTTTCTGTAATAATTATAACCACAAGGCCTCAGGAATATGTCAGAAAACACTTGGTGACAAAGTCTGCCAGTCACTGCATCAACAAATGCAAATTAGGTCTGCTATGCAAAGCGGACAACATCCAGAAGCCGACTTCTGGGCTGAAGCTACTCTGAGATGGATTGATGCATGGTGGAAATGAATGTTTTTGAAAATAATGGATGTTGTGTTCTCCAGGCCAAAGAAAAAAAAAAAAACTATCCCGACTGTTACCAGCAAGTTCAAAATCTAGTGTCTCATGGTTTTGGGGTGTGTTAGTTGGTAACTTGCACATCTGTGAAGGCAGCATTAATGCTGAGGGGTGCTTACACTTTTTGGAGCAACATATGCGGCCATCTAGATGGTGTCTGGGATATTCAGGGATATTCCTGCTTGTTTCAGCAACATATTCTGCACGTGTTACAAAAGCATGGATTTGCAGTAAGAGAGTGACCTGCCTGCAGTCCAGAACTGTCTCCCATTGAAAACAACTGGTGCATTACGAAGCACAACATATAATGATGGAGACCCCGGACTGTTGATCAGCTGAAATGTTTTGTGCAAGAATAGGAAAAAATTCCACTTTCACAACTACAACAGTTGGTGTTCTCAGTTCCCAAATGATTACTGAAGACTGTTTAAAGAAAACATGTTGTAACACTATCCCAACTTTTTAGATATTCTCTCATCTGTACTGCTAGAGTGGAATGACTATAGTTTAGAAATCAAAATAAGTAGTTTTTGAAATGTTTATTCACAAAACCCAAATCTGTTGTTTTTTCTTAAATAGCTTTGATCATAGACAGATGTGACTGATAGACAGTAATTTGAAAGAAAAAGAAGTATTTCTCTAAAACTGTAAAAATCTGTTTTCTCTGCTGCTGTAAAGGCTAAACTGCCTCATCTGTCACCCTCCTGCTGTGTCTTCTGTCCTTCACCCTTCAGACATAAACGAGTGTACATCAAGCAACCCATGTACCGAGAATACAACGTGTATAAATACTGTTGGCTCGTACACGTGTGAGCATCTACCTGCTTTCCAAAAGCCAACAGAATCTCCTACTTGTACAGGTAAGACCATCACAATCCCCCCAATATACTTTGAAATGTCTCTATTTACATATCGTTTATAAATATACAATATTTGGTTATATTGTTTTCTGGCTTTCTGCTCACAGAAACAGGTGTAGAGGTCTGTGTACTTCTGGTGTTTCTCTTTTTAATTCCAAAAATGGATATTGCCCTTGACCCTCAAAAGTGCCTGAGGAAAATGGTAACGCTTTACAATACATTTTCACATATTAACAGTACTTAAGAGAGTAGCAAGCATTACCAAATGGTTTTGATTGGCACCCCAGTAGTGATGCAGATGTAGCTGTAAATAATATCACTCTATACCGAGTTAACAGAGAATCAAGAGGAGGCAGAGTAGCTAAATGTTTTGAGGGCTTAAAAATGACTCTTTTGTAGTAGTAGGGATTTACAGGCCTCCTTCTGCTGATTTTCTATTGCAACATACTGCTTCAGAAATAACTAATGTTCTATTCCAACATACTGCTTCAAAAATGCTGGACTTTAATCTCAACTGGTTGTCTAATGCATCTGATCATCTAAAAAGAATATGTGTCAATCTTACCCTCACACAGTTGATCACTGAATCAACTCACTCAACACCCCCCCCCCACCCCCACCCCCCACAAAAAGCTAGAATAGGAGATAGATCAAGTCCCTGCTTTACTAGTGAAAATTTCTTCATTGTTTAAAGCAAGAAATAAAGCTTGGACTGTTGCCAGATGCACAAGGGAGAGAGAAAACTGTTTTACATTCAGACAACTGAGAAATAAATGTACTTCTGCAATTAGCAATGCAAAATCAGATTATTTTCTCAGCAACTCTTCCAACATTCAGAATTTCTGGAAAGCAGTAAATTCCCTCAAAAACAAATCCTCAACCAACATTTTAATTAATAATCACTTGATATCTTACCAGAAAGACCTTTGCCAAACTTTGAATGTTCATTTTTTTCTGCAGCCAGTCATGTATTCAAAAATAAAAGACTTACAGCTGCTTTTGAATCTGACATTACTTCTACTGCTACAGAGGACCACAGTCTCTTCACACTCCAGACCTTCTCTTCATATATAGTGTCAAATCCCCTTACTGCTATTAACACTACAAGAAGGACGGTCTGAACCCTATTTCCTGCATTTTGCAACCCTGGTTATTTTAGAATATATTACATACAATTTTATCTCCTAGAATCCCCAATATCTGGAGAACAGCTCATGTTATTCCACTGCATAAAGGAGGCACAGCAGCATGTCTACATAACTACAGACCAATCTCAAAACTGTCTTGTGGGGGAAAATCCTTAAGGCATAGACAACTTATTTTTACTATGAAAACTCACTACTGTATAACCTTCAGTCACAGACAGCACCATCTCTGCAACCATGCTGGTTTAAAATGATCTCTACATGGCCTTAGACACGTAGAAGCACTGTGCTGCCATTTTCATTGATTTAACAAAAGCGTTCGATACTGTTGACCACAGTCTTTTTTTGGGATACTTAAAAAGGACTCTCCTCTCAGATACCTCTCAGATAGAAAACGGCACATGGTACTGGTTAACCGTAAATCCGATTTAATTCCTGTACCCAAAGTTCCCACAAGGCTCAATCTCGCATCCAGTTTTATTTAGGATATACATCAATGATCTTGCCGCCACCACCTCAGACTGCAAAGTGCACTTGTATGCAGATGACATGATTTTATACTCTTTAGTCGAATCTGCGCATGCGCATTTAATGCCTTATAAATGGTTCTATAGAAGCACAAACCAGTTTTAAATGCCAAGAAAATCGAGTTTATGCTGTTTTCCAGATGTTCAAATATTGGTTTTAATGCTGTGAATATTACTACCCTGACAGGATCCAGCATCAAGTATAAATACCTGGGCATTTGGCTTTAAAAGAAACCCACATTTAAATATCATAGTAATAAACTAGTCAGTATGTGCAGGCAGAGGCTCAGATTTCTTTATCGAAATAAGTCTTTTCTGCCCATGTATGCCAGAAAAAGAGTCATGGAAGCAGGCTTACTATCAGACCACTAGACCCAATCTATCACTCCACCTTGAGATTCATTACTGGAGACCCTTAAATCGCTCTCCAGCCATATGCGAGCTTATATCTCATCTATGATCTCTATAAATAATGGTAATTATCAGACTTGCTTTATTGACTGGACCACCTGTCATTTATATACTGTAGTTTATACTGTACTTGGAAAATCTGCTTTTAGCTGCAGAGCACCAGCGAGATGTAATTCACTACAGGACTCTAGCCACCTTCAGACAGCCTGCAACGGTATAAGTGATTTTGTTGAAATAGATTTTTATTTTTATCAATATATTATTTTATTTCATTTTATTTGGCTGATTAAAATCCATTTCTTTATTTGATCTCAATCCCGTTGTTATTTTATTACTGTCCACTGTTGTTATTTTATTACTTGTTGCAATAAATTACTTGATTGTTTTAAATTTTGGTTTGCCGTATTTATCCTTTTATGCTGAACTTATTGGGTTTGTCTACCATATCTGATTTTTGATATTTGGTTTTACTATCAATTTGTTCATGTAGTTTAATTCATTTAAGTTTAAACTGATTAAATTCCATTTTAATTTCTTTTCAATCCCTTTGCACTGCAAAGAGACAGAGAGAGAGAGTTTTATTTTTTTAAAACAAATATTTACAGCTGTTTGCACTGCAGTTAAATAAATGCAAATACGTTGAAGGAAGGACACACACTGCAGTTCGGCTAAACCAGATGCCAATAATAACAACTGAAATCAATCCATTGCATTCAGTATTTAATTCCTAAGTGCTTATGTTTATTGTACGTGAAAACAGATCATTGGGCTAAAATTAGCTAAAGCATGCAACACCAGTGTAACTGCAGTGAACAACTTTGTGTGTTTTATGATGAATATCTACCTTAGTAATAATTCTGGGCCAATAGGCTAAAGATGCCCTTTTGGCTTCAGTTGTTTACATTTCAAAAAGAAATAAAAATCCTTCCTTTACCACATAAACATTACAATCCACACATATTTTTCATTTTTTACCATTAACTTGACTTTGAAGTGGCAAGATAAGTATTCAACGAGCTGCCCATATAATCTTGACTGGTAGAATTTTCAGTGGGAGCTCACTGAGTGTAGAAAAATATGGGTACACTTTCTCTCGTGAGTGTGAATAGGCCTGTAATTGTGTGTTGGACTCAGAGTTGGTGAATATCACCTGCCTTCCATCCCAGTCCACCTGTACCCTGACTCTCTGCACCCTCTCAGTTCCATAATACCCTGTGTTGAATGAGAATTCTTCCATCTTCTCGGCTTACGGTCCAGAATCCATCCTGAGGGCTCACTGTGATCTCATCTTTTCTTTTGATGGACTCTTTCACCACTCCTATGGTCCAATTGTCACTTTCCCCAACGTCCACTACCCAGCTGTGGGTTCCAGAGCTGAAGCCCTCAGAGCCCAGGATGACGGGGTGCATCATGAACCTCTCTGGGTTGTTTGGAAGGTTCTGTTTTGTATCCCTACTGTTCACTTTGATCAAGTCCACCAATGGTTGTACATAGAACCATGTAGACTCAGTACTTAAATCATTCTTTAAATTGTGAAGTGGTTTGTCAGATTGATGAAGAATGTGTTGTATATGGTCTTAAATGTAATAAATCTTAGATATATCACCAAAATGGGTTCTTCAAGCTTGCAACAACAGAATAACCCTTTCTGGTGCTGTATGGAACCATTTTCAAAAAGGTTCTATATAGAACCATCTACTACACACTCCATTAATCTGAAGAATCATTTTACCATTCAAAGAACCATGTAAGCATGCAAATGGTTCATGGTGTTCATGGGTCTATAGAGAACCACTGTCTTTACTAAAGACCCCCTGAAGAACCATCTTTTCTTAAAGAATGTGAATCTTGTTTTGATGCAATCTTCTGTATTTTCTATGATTTTACCAAGGGTTTTAATGCTCATACGATATGTTTAAAAGTAGATATTACATGTAAACCTATTCAGTGTTATTAATATAATGTGCAGTTCAACTACACTATTAAAAAGATGGTTCTCCAAGGGTTCTTTAGTAAAGACAGTGATTCTATATAGAATCATGAGCATTCAAAATGGTCAAATGCTCAAATGTTGCTTTGCATGGTGAAATCGTTCTTCAGAATGACGCAGAATGTGTTGCAAATGGTTCTACATAAACCCCTATTAAAAAGGGTTCTATATAGCATATGCTTATGGTGTAAAGCTTGTAACAATAGAAGAACGCTTTTTGATGCTGTATAGAACTATACACAAATCATTCATTATCAAGGGGAAGAATCAAGTCACCATGCAAAGAACCATTTGAGCATGCAAATGGTCCTTTGATTATTCATGGTTCTATATAGAACCACTGTCTTCGCTGCCAAGAACCCTTGAAGACCATGTTTTTTAAGAGTGTAGGTTAATAGACAAACCTTAATTTAATCCTGATTTAAGCTTAAGTTTTAAACTTGTTTAAGCAACTCAACCAATGACTTTTAATGATGAGAGGAGATTTGAAAGACTGTTAGAGATGTACAATACATGTACAATTTGTTTGAATATTTACCATCAAAATTACACTGATTCAGCTCTCTAGGTCAGATGTGCATGTGAGAATGCAGCTGCAGTCAACACATGTTGCGATGCAGCTGCAACATGCACTCACACTCTAAGCTGTTGTTTCACAAACTCTGTTTTTTAGCTGAAGTACAATTACACCCCTGTATAGTCCATATACTCACAGTAAGGACAGATGTCCTTCATCTTCTCCCAAACTCTGTATCTCAGGTTTCCCGAGGTGTTTGGCCACATCAATCAGAGCTCCTGAATCCAGCTCTGGATCCAGCACTGTGTACTCAGCACTGACATGATCACACAAACACAACACTTTTAAAATACATTTTAAACCAAAATAATACAGCTATATGAAAACATTTGGGTGTCCCAGGTTAAATGACATAAATGAGATTTTCTAAGTGAATTCAAGTGAACATCCTCTACAGAGAACACACTCTGCA